AGAAGAAGCAGCCACGAGGTTAAGAGGAAGGGTGGTAAATAGTATCTATTTTGAAAGCTGACATCTGTGATGAATCTAATGAGAGATTTCAAAATCTAGCCAAATCAAAAAGGAGCCAATGAAGGTGAATGCAGCAGAATATGTTCTGGGAGCAAAGAAAAAGTACAATAAAAATTGTGCAAATGCCACTAACAAGGTAACATTTACAATCGTGTCTTAATATTTGATATTTACTATCCATGTCCACACTTGTAAATAAGGACTATCATCTAGCATTTGAGCAGGTTCTCAGGATTTATTGTCACAGCAATTTCTCTTAACAATTTATACATACAGATCCCTTATGGCAAATAGTGACAATGGTACTTGCTCTCATTCATTCCTTAGAGAATCAGGCCACAGATTCCTCACTCTCACCCACACGTAAAGATACCCACAGGTAAAAGGACTACAAGTATTTCACAGGTTAGAATCAAACAAGGAAAGTGATCTTGGGAAAAGAGATAGATGGTCTGAAAAATGAGGATACTACTCAATGGACAACAGAATAGGCCTCACCGACCCAAGAAGAGTCAACTACACACAAAGGGGAACAACCATCTATGTTTTAGCACAAAGGATCTGGGCATCACCGTGCCACATACATAAGCTGGCACAGTTCCGTAGTGGCCATCTACTGCAAAAAGGGCAAGCCCCATAGCTGTGTGTACAGACAGAAGTACAACAGCAATCCTCTGCCCTCCTCCTGTAAAACCTGGGTGGGAGCCCTGCAACCTGCTCTGGGCACTGTCCTCCAAGAAAGCTGTAACACCACCCAGCATGGAGAGCAATGAAGTCATTTGACACTTCAGAAAACACCAGTAAAGAAAGCACAGGAGGCTATGATGTTGCAATGGCCATTTATGTACTTGAGCAAAAAGGTAGGGAACATTTTACTATAGTGATTGTAGCAGCCTGGTCAAAAATAAAGGGATAAATTGAAGCAAAGAAGATTTAGTTTAGATACCAGGAAACAAACTTCATAGTGGCAGAGATAATGACTGTAGAGACTCTGCAGCTCTCAAGCTGATGCCTGTACAAACAAAACCCTTTTATTTGTACACATCACCTGAGGACTCTACAGTCCAGAACAGAACAAGGAGGGGGAGCTCAGCCTCAGAGAGATCATCCTTGCTTCCCCTCCATCTCTTTGATATTGGGAATTCAGCCGACCTTCAACTCACAGGAGACAAAAGCATTAATCTATTAAACACCGTCAGATCAAAAGGCAGATTGGTACAATTCACAGCCACTTAGTAACTTGCTTATATAAATTGTGGACATGGAATATGTTCAAAGAAGTTGTTGTTAATTTCCCTTGAACATCTTGGGATTAAAACTTTATTTTATATACATCTCTATAGCTATTAACTTTCCTTTAGAAAAACTCCTGTTTATGCACCTAGTAAGTTCAGTGTTAGTTCTGTGCACAACATCTCTAGCTAAAAGGGACATTAAAAATATAGTAATTTAAAAATCTAAATTCAAACAGCTGTTAATCACTTAGCATGAAGATAAATAATTGGAAAGGGCACACATAAATCACTGGTCATTCCCAACTCCTCATTCCAGTTACCTTAGAAAACAGCCTTCCCTCAGTTTAGTTGTCTGTTCTGGGATTATTTTCTTTTTCTAATAAATAAACATCCTAAATGCATTCCTATAAGTCTCATTTTCTGGAAATGATTTTAGCTCTCCAGTTTGTTATTTCTTGGGGGACTATTTGGTATTTATCTCATCATTTCAAACAATATAAGGGGTGCAATCTGAAAAAAAGCAATTGTAGACACTTGGTATTAATGGCTTTCTAGCTGGAAAAAAATGTCATTAAAGGGTCAGCTGCAGTAGATCTTGTCTGACTTTTGGGGGGGTTTGACTCCAGCTCTGCATGGCTGTGGCTAACAGGCTGGGAGTCCACCAGCTGCCTTCCGCCTCTTGATCTTCATTACTCAGTTCCCCAGTTCTCCTCCCTTGTCGGTTCTGTTCTGGTCACCACAATTAAATCCCACTTCTTCCTCCTGTATTCACCTCCAGCTCATTAATTTTTGGCCAGTCTCCATTACTGTTTCAGCTCAGCATTTTACTATTTCTTTTGTCACTGTTTAAGGCCTTGTTCCTCTCTCTTTGGTTTTGTAGGGTTGAAGGAGAATTTTCAATTGCACTTCACAGAAGAATGGGTGACTGTTTTGCTGTTGTTGGGTAGGTGCTAGGGAAGCTCCCATCTGTCCCACTAGCCATTTTCCTTCCCAGGCTGGTCTGGGAGCACAAAGCCATCTCAAGGCTGTAGCATCATCAGCAAACAATTCTTTCTGCTGAAGGCTTAAGGGTTGTTTTATGCCCAAGGATGTATGAGGAACAAGACTATCTGATGAACCCCAACTTCTCAGACGGAAGTTCCCAGCACCAAGTTGTTATCTGAATGAATATTACAATTAATATCTCCCAACAGAGGGTATTTGCAGCTTCCTGGGCAAAGCCAGATGGCACCGATTGAAGGCTCTTCCCCAGGAGACAAGAAATGTGGTCCCTCCAGATTGGGTTGCTCTCTTGGTCCTTTTTACCTCAGCAGACTTGTGGCCTCACTGAAATTCCTAACAGGTTTATCACTGTGTAACCAAATGCATACTTCATCTGGTTGGTGGTTGTACAAACAAGCCTTAATCTGAGTTAATCTTAATTCTGGAAGTGGATCTTCATATAAATGTGGCAACAGATAGTTAGCTTTTCTCTGTGGGGAAGCAAAAGAAAGTTTGTGCCTACTTGGAGTTTGCAGTCCAAGTATGGTATCATTGGCAGGTGACAGTGATCAGGTAAAGTATCAAAAGGTTGCAGACAAACGTTTTAAAAATCAGCTGGTGGTAGGACAGATTTTGTTTGAGCCAAATTCATTCATGTAATAATTAAGTTGCATCACTTTAAACTCAAATGAAACTTTAATACAGCTCTCTGACTACTTCGAAATCCTTACTAGTAATGCGTATTTTTACTTTATAAACACTGTGTTAAAACCTGTGCAAATCTAGAGTGACTTCATATTTAATGAAAGGAAAAAACTAGCACAAGTACAAGATGGGTTCAGGGGTACAAATGCTTCACATCTTTTTATCAGCCATGGGGTGTTGCAAAGTATTTCAGGTGGGGGTGGGAAGGAAGAGTTAGGGAAAAGTTGCATGAAGTACCCAATGCATGAATTTGAAACATTAGTTATTTGAAAGGAGTGATTATTCAAAGCAGACACTGGTATCTAATTAGTTAACTCCTAAGGCAAAACAGGCAATACACCAGCTGATGCAATTGGTGGCAGCAGGAGTTTGGAAATAAATACCTCTATTTGGCACTAAGAAGTGAAACAGAGCTCAAATTTCTGTGGATTGCCTGGCCACAAGTTCATGCCTCAGAGCTCACATTTCTGTGGTAAAGGAAAATTAAATCTCAGAGTTTAAGATCTGGGGTTCAGTGTGGCTATTTATTAAAATTCATCTGGCCTCCATAGACTCTGAATATTTTCAGTTGACCTAGATGGAGCTCATGACAAATTCAAGCGCTCATGGGGCATTTCCAGTGTTTTCTGATAAAAGCTTAGTAGAATATGCAAACAAAACCTGACACACTTGAAAGCAGTGATTACCATCCTAGCTAGAAACCAGAAACACAGTGGCACATGAAAACAAAGAACAAATAAAAATTCCAAACCACCAGAACCCCCAACTCAGCTAAATCTGGGGAACATCCATTCACAGTGATCTATAATGCATTTTGGCCTGGGTTCATCCAGCATCTCTTTTGAGATGCTGCAGCTAGGGCTATGGCTGCACCAGGCTACTGACAGAGCCAACAGAGAAGCGAGCATTCCCTGCAGAAGGCAGCTTAGCTCCCTTCTGCCCACAGCTGTTCTGTGCAAGAGCCCTGTCCCTAGCAGCAACAGTGCAGGTAGGTATCTGATGCTAAATGAGATGACTATAGCATTACTGTATTCAAATTTATTGTCTTATATTGTGTCTATGACTGTCCCACTTTGTGCATTTTTAGGTTTGGTAGTCCCTTCAAAACAAGACTCCTGTTTCTCAATATCAAACCAAAGTCAGTATGACAGATGGTGCTAGAGTTGGCTGTCCTAAGCCTATCCTGTGCATTGCTAAAAAGGGTTATTTGTCCTATGCACCCTACAATGCCCTGGAGGTATCAGCATTTTGTTGTTTGCCTCGCTGTTTTTCAACTCAGAGTTCTGCCTACCATCCTTACGTCATTTCTGCCAGTCAAAACTGCTGTTTCTTAGGCCGAGCAGGGATTTCTGGTTACAGTTCAGTTTAACTTCAAAAGATCCGTATCTGCAACCTCATGGGAAACGTCTATATGCTCTCATAAACCTGTCAATAGATGTCTGTGTGAGTAACCTCAGCAGCAGACATTCAACAGCACACCTGAATAGAGCCCTTGAATTAAAATGACAGCTTCCTGGCTTACTAACCAAGGTTTGCTTTACAGATAGTACACGTAACACTCCCAAACCACTACCTTTTCAGTTTAAAACGGTGCATTGGCTCACAAGTGACAAGGAGAAGGAAACACTGTCCTTTCTGTTTAGCAAGTATACACTTCTGTTCTCAGCCACCTTTGTTCATGTCCGTTCCTAAAGAAATTCAGTTCAGTCGATCTGGGCTTGGGTAGCGACTGAATCACTGTGCAGGCTGCACTATGACAGAACGGATCTAGCTTAAAGAAAAGTTTGCTTATGTGATGATAAGCAAGCTGGAAAGGTCTCTCTGCTGCTAGCTTGATAAAAAGAAAAGAAAAAGTAAATGATTATCAATAAAGTGTGTTTGATTAGGTGTCACTGAGAGAAAGAAAATGCCATTTCATGTCACTTTTTAGAAAGCACAAGGTATGTAACTTTTGGGGATGATTTTGCTCTTGACTAATCTTCAGATTCAATATTAAAATCTCAAACTTCCCAAAGGAAAGAGATTCTGCATCTTTTAATGAAAGATAAAACAACAATATAAACATACACAAATTTACAGAGAAAGGATCAGCTTTAATACATCTGGAATAAAAGGTGTTCTTTTTTAAATATGGTATAAAAATAAATGCAAGAAACATTAACAGAGAATATACAGACAACAGACAAAGACACAGGCTTTCTTTCTCAATGTGAATACATCAGTGAAATGAAACCTTCTGTGCTAATTTATTGTGCAATAAATGTGATGCCATATGTATATTTATTAATATATGCATATTTTACATTTCTTCCAGGTTTTGATTGCTTTTTTTTTTTAATAAACTGTGCCTAGCAGAAGCTTTTTTTTCACTGTACTTGAGCTTGCAGAAAATAAAAAGACACAGATCCAGCTTGATATGAAGGAGGAAGTGAGCAGACAGTTTTCGAAATGGTGGCATCGAAAGGCTAGAGAGTCCCTCGGAGTCTGTAATGCCTTAGTATACACAAAAGAAAACAAGTCAGGTCCTTGCTCATGCAACATCTTGTTCTACTGTCCTCTGAGTCAGGCAATCAGTGAGCTACAAAGTATGTATAATGATTTGAGTCTGCTTCCATGCTACAAGGTGATCCTTTTAGTAGGACTGCACTAGACTGGTTAACCTCTTTGATGTGAGCGATTTCCCCTGAGGAAAAGATAAAAACAAAAAACAAAAACAGAAAACAGAGGCATGATCACTGCAAACCTGTTCATCAGCAACCACTCAGTGTTGCCACATCACTGTCAAATAACTAGGGGCACCAACTGGAGTCTGTCAAATCTTAAACCAGCAGAAACCCTTACGCTGAAACACCTGCACTGCCAGCCAGCCAGGTTATTTCACAGAATAAGCCAGCAAATTTAAAGGCCATTTTTGAATGAGATTGCTTTTGGCTGATGAGAAACTAATGCTGTGGGGTTTGCTGTCAGTCATACCCAGAACTTGAAGAAGTGAGAGCACCTTGTGCTACAAAGATGAATGTGCAAACTGCAGTAGCTCTGTCACAGAAGACAAAAAGCTACTTTAAAGGTAAGAAAGCAAGAGGCAGATTGCATGTAGGTGGGAAAGCAGCTTTTTCATGAATGCAGCTATTGGTTTGCTGAGACTTTGTTTACTAATTATGAAGAATATTGGTCAGGTGTACCACATGTGACTGCATAACACTGCTTTGAAGGTGTTTGGATTTCCACACTTTTATTTTCCTCATCGTTCCTCCTTTTGCAAGGATGCAGTTTCAGTTTTACAGTACATTCTTTTAACAGGATATAATGACTGGCCCACAAGAGTTAGGCCTACAGCATGAAGAGGATGGCACTGGGTATGTCACCATGGTATATTTCAGGCAGATTTGAGCTTTAGCTGAGCCAGACAAAAGCCATAAAACCACATAACAAGAATTAGTTCTCCTAAGACCACATAAAAGGAATCAGCTCCCCTAGGGCCATCATACTGTGGCTCTGATCCAACAAAGGCAGAGCTGGCACAGCAAGCTTACAATACTCCTCAATATACTACTGGCATACCCTGATAATGTAAACCAAATAGATCATAACATTAAATAGAAGATGGCTCTAACTCTCCGGTTAGGTATTTAATACTTACATTTATTGTATTAATTTTAACTGCACAACTCAGAAAAATGAAACTGATTTCAAGTAGATTACAGTAAGAAATACTGTAGCTGTGGGGAAATGCTACATTTTCTGCAGTAAACGGTAAATTATTTATTCTGCCATATCAATGAGTTGTTAAGTCATCTGCTGTATTATAACTCAGTAGAATTCCACAATTTAATATCTATTGTCATTATCAATCAAATTTATGCTTACAGGAATCTGCAAGTTTGTTTCGGGCAGTGGCTCAGATACAATATATCACAGTAGGTCTTCACAAAAGTAACAGTAAATATTTTATTTTGTGCTATGAAATACAAGGTGAAAGAATTAGGATGACTATTTCTCCTACAATACAATTTTGAAGGGAACTCATGATCTGCAGTGTTGGGTTAGACTGCTCATCCATCAGGTTCACAGTATCACCTGACAGTACTAATACTCGCTTCTTTGAAAGACGGAAAGTGTTCTTCCTGGCATGCTGTCTTGCTTTTACCTACATTAAATTCACAGCTTCTTGACCCTTCTTAAGGCTGAAGTTATGTTTTCCTTTAATGTAACAGGAAAGTTGCTATATTAAGACATATTTTCCTTTTAAAAAGTCAAAAAAGTCTCAACAGCTGTGTGGCACTGGAATACAGTTTCAAACAGCACGTCTAAAATTCAGTGTTCTGTTAGGGAATTCATGATTGTGAGCCTTGGACATAATCTCAGAAGATATTTAGCGTATGCTTATCTTTGCCTTTCATTAAGTTTTTATGTTTAATTTTAGAGGTCTATAGGCCTAGCTACTTTCTCTAAATATGTACGAGTACCCTTTAATACTGACCCGCATAAATCAGTTAATTAAAACAATTAAACCAGGTGTTCTCTACTAGTTATTAAAACAATTTGTTCAATACTGCAAAGCTGCAGCAGCTTTTGTTGCAGGATAAAATCTGTGAAAATATTGTTTTTATTCTTATCCACAATTGATTATCTGGGAGTTGTACATTTCCTAGGATTTTTAGATGAACCATAACAAACTTCTAGCATCTCAGGAATTAATTGTGATATTACATAAACTAGGAAGTTTTGACCTAAAAGCAGCACAAAACCTAGCTGTTAGTTGATCTGAATTGTATAACCTTATTCTACATACTATTTGAATTTTTTCCTATAGATACTGACAGTTGTCATGGGTTTTTTTTCTGTATTGTACACCACTTGCTTCCTGGATATTGCTGTTCTCTGAATACTTTTTCTCTTAAGCCTTACGGTGATAGTAAATTCTTGGGATGGTCCTCTCCTGCACCTCTCTTCCCTGCCTCAGAGAATATTACACTTCTACATATGAAGTACCCATGTGAACAACAACAACATATGTTCTTTTTCCAGGTACTAATAGCTCTAATTTATCTTATGATTGGAAAAGTGAGAGCTTAGAAGATACACCGTCCTTAAGAGATCTTCCATGTTTACTCCGAATCATGCTTAATTCTGTGATTGTGATTGTGAAAATAAGCTTTTAATACACAGAATCCATGGCAGCCCCAAATACAGAATTATCCCACCTTTTTATTCAGGTCTGCAGGGATTTGTTATTTTTCAGTTTACAGAATATTTCTTTCAAATTCTGTTCCAGAGTATACTTTTACTTTAGCTCTGTATGTTAGGGTTTCAGAATTATCACTTCTAGGAGATTTCTAGATTTAGTCAATTTACAGGCTGAAGTAAGGATCACCCCTTATGGGTTGTAATTTAAGAGCTGAGCCTAGCTATTTCTTTCAGATACAGTGTTAATAGCATTTCCCCAAGACAAATTTTGATTTGGGAAACTACATCTAATAAGCCAGTTTTTAGAAGTGTAGCACATGAGTCATCACACATAGGAAAATGTTTCCTGTGCTAATGAGATTAAAGAACAATTGGAAAAGAAGTCAGAATAAGTAGTAGATATTTTTCTGAAGAATGGAATGGAAATCCTTAATATTTTCCAATATACTCTTGCTACTAATATTTATAAGTATATGGCCAAATTCTAAACAGGATTTTTGACTGTATCGGTGCACTCTGGACATATGAGTTGAAACTATTTAACAATTTTACTAATAATACACAAGCAAAAATGAGACCCCACCCACATATCCTGACAAGGGAGTCAGAGATTGAGGAGGCAGCACAGCAGTTTAACAAGTACATCTAAGAATCCTAAATCAATTAACTTTGGTGTTCAGTCCCTACTTTAGTGTATAAACTCTTTAACATAGAATTGTCCTTCTTACTGTACTTTCAGAGAATATAGGGGGAAAATTACAAAATCATGTGCAGATGTATGAGCTGCTAAATACAAACGTGCTGACTGACCTATTTATGCAGCATGACACTAATACCACAAGTAAGCCGGCAAACAAGCCAGCAACAGCCTCTGTACATATGTGGCTTATAAGGAATCATTATGAAATTTATATAGGGGCTAGAGCGGAAATGTATGGTATGGGAAGATCAAGCCTTTTCTCTTTAGAAGATTAATTCTTTTCTTTTCTGCTAAGCAACCTCAATGACTCCTTTTTCAGGTTTCTTTATTGCCAGCACAGGACCAGTGCTGGTAGATTAGAAATGAGAACTTCATGCATCTGACCAGGAAACAGAGAAACAGTGTGAACACTGCTGTGAGCAAAATAAGATGCAGAGAGAGAATCGACCCTCTTGCTCTCCCTGTTCCCTATCTGTGACACACCTGCAGCTGGGCAGGATCAGCAGTGCACTACACATAGAGCCAGTACAGAAACAGACCCTGAGAGAAGCACATCTGGAGTGGCGCAGGAGCAGGAACAGTAAGTCCCTTTCTAAGATTAAGCAGCTTTTGCTCCTTAAGCACAGGAGAACTGCTTTAGCACCATGCAGCGAGTCAGGATTCTGCTTTGATTTCCACAGCAGCATGGGACATTGCTCTCAGCCACCCGTGCAGGTGTATTTCTCTTTCAGACATGTGAGGAAAGGGGAGCAGGTTAGCATTTACTGAATTTGGGGCTCAAGTTGTCAGCACAGCTGCAGTGCTAAGTGGTTGCATGTGGAGGAAAATCCTGCCTATCACAGGGATTTGCAGTCCTGTCTTCCTTTCTCATTATGGCCATACTGCTTCCTGGAGCAGTACACCAACAGGAAGGCAGCGTGTGAGCGACTGTGTTCCTATTTAAGCTCATTCCAGATTGGCTGACACTCCCAGATTTTTTCTCCTTTTGCGCTAATGTTTCCATTTACTGATGAGCTGCTCTCACTTGTGATTAAACTACAAACTCTTGCCAGATGGGGTGTATCTGAAGTGTGGGGTAACAAATAAGATTTTCCAAGGCACCAATGCACTAAACAAATACGTTTAGTAAACTTGTCCGAGGCCTGACCCTTCAGGTTTTTATACCTCTCAGCAGTTCTCATTCCTACAAGTAGCTTAAGACTCAGGTAAATGTTTGTCAGGTGGGAAATGGCAGACACTGGCCTAATACCTGAACAGTACCCACTGGCTCCTCACTTAAATGGGCCTGGCTGTGCAAGTACTATTCCAGCTCTTTTCTTCCAGCACAGCAGCTTTGCTCCAGTCACTGCAGAGTAGGACAAGGCGGCCAGTCCTCACTGGCATGTCTTACAGATGCTCTTTTTGATTTTCCACATTAGCCTGGGCATCATTCCTAAAAACCCCTAAACTAGATTTTTTGACTAATTATAAATCCAAACTAAAAATTTCGATTAATTCATCAGTTCTTTTTAGTCAAAAATCAATAAGCCATCTTCTTCCTGAAATGGAAAAAGCCCTAATTTCTATAAATACTTATTATTTTTATTCTTGTTTTGTACTTGTTAAATAAAAGCCTTGTGATTTTTTTTTTTTTCTGACTAGCTATTTTTGAGTTAAGTTTTAGGACTGACCTGAAGGAAGTTCAAAAGTCTAATTAGGATTTCTTCCATGACTGCACACTGAACATGAGGTCCCAAAGGTGATACTGCACTGAAGCTTATTCACAATGATATTTTCAAGAAAAAGCTAGCCCTTGGTGGAATTTCAGTGCTAGATGGACTTTTGCTCTGGCACAATAGAGCCTTGTGTAAGTAAGTTTTACCTGTGCGAATACAAATAAATCCTTGGTTAAACTGATATATTATCTGCCTTGTTTCTCAATAAAGGGATAGATTTTAACACGACAAGAAGTTACACTGGTTTAATCTAGAAAGTTTATCCCTCACTGATAAGAACTGAGGAAGCTATTATTATGAGTTTTAATTTCCATCTCTAGACCATAATTTGCTATGTCATGTTAAGTGACACTGGACTGAGCCTCTGAAAATGTGCTGTGTTCAATGGCCTTCACATTTCACATCTCATGCATGAAATGGTCTAATGTTACTGATTTGGAGGGGGAAAATATCAAAGAACTCTGGTCAGCAATTTCTTCCAGGTAAGTGGGAGAAGACAGCTGGAAAGGGTATGGGTATAGTTTTAAACTCAGAGTTATTAAATGGGGTCTTGTTTATGATGTTATGAGTGAAGGTCATTATCAGCTTATGGCTCTCTAGTTTAACATTTGAACTGAGTTTGGTCTATTTTGTACTGGCTGTATTTCCATAAAACATCACAAACTTGCAGCCAGCACATCTTTCTGCCTTCTCTCTAACTGGGCAGCAACAGATGAAACTTAACACTGGTGGTGGTGCCTGAAGCCATGACACCAACATGTTGATGATGGAGGGTTCCTACAGGCAGCCCTGAGGAGGGAGACTGCACATTCTTGCCCCGTTAACTTGATTCCTAGTGGGACAAGAAAATTTGCATGGGGTGAAAATTAAATTAGCCCACTTCCCTCTAAGTAAGATCTCTGTTTCAGGCTTCCAGGCTGCTGATCACAGCTAAGCACCAGCGTAGCACTCACAAAGGCATCTTGCAAAGACTAAGTCTGCCACCCATCACAAATCCCACATGCACAGAAGAAATATAAGACAAAAGGTTTCTTTAAAGGACCTCTTTCTCCCCATCAACATTATCGGGGCATATTCTCCTGTTTTATTCTCTGCAATGTAGATGTTAGCACTTGAAGTAGTTTTGATTTTTATGTTTTTCTTAAATATAGATTCTTTTTCCCCATGTGAATTCTTCAAAAGAATTTCCGTTTTTGAATGACACAGAAACATCTGATTTCCCTCTCTCTACTACTATAGCAAGAAATGAAATTCTCAGGCTCTCTGACTTACACCTTTAGCTTCCATACTCACTTCCTTAGGGAGCTGCAGGTGACTAGACCGTAATTATTCACAAAGAAAAACTTGAGTGGCTGAGCTGGTCAGGGGGGATCACTGAGTACACTGTCACTTCTCCTGTGCCTTGGAGTCAGAGCTGTGCCACCTGTGGTTGCCCACGTTACTCCAAGGCAATGCACTTATCTAACAGCATCATTCCGGTAGTGCTGAAGTGTATGGGCTCTGTATTTTCATGCAATTCCCTGGGGTGTAAGTAAGTAAGGCAAACCAAGGATAGCCGTGCTTACTACTCATCAGCAAACTACAAAGTGTTAGGTAATAAATATTACGTATAGCAAATGCCAGTTTGCTGTCACTTCATCTATATTGTACGTGAATCAGACCTGTTTCTAACACTATGTATATTGTCTGTTGTTTACTGCCAAGGGCATTAGTGATTTTGCACAATAAGATCTATAGAGCAAGCTAAATAGCTGATGTTTTTAAGCTGAGCATTTAGGGCTTTCATAAAGTGCAGCACCTTATTCAAAGTTTTCTGGAAAGAAAACTCTCCAATGTCAAAGAAATGCAGAGCTGAGCCTAGGGTTTTTCTGTGTATATAACTCCACTTTTATTTTTTCCCCATCAGACTAGAATAATGACTCAACATATTAGGTTATTTACACTTAATTCAAGGAGTAGTACAAAGGGATTGTCTTTACAAAGTTTCTAAGCTTTCTACTTTAACTAATGCTTTGTGTAGCAAATATAACCCACTTTCATTTATGACTGACCAGGAGACTCTTAGAGTCTCTGTCTTAACAAATCAGGTTATGAATTACGAGGTCATCTTCTCAGGTTCAGTCTGTAGATACAAGCAAGGTTCATGGTTTTTTTTAAACACTTCAAATGGAAAAAAGCTGAGGTCTGATTTAGTTCAATACAAACCCACTTTGATATAAGTGAGAAAAAAAACCCCAGTGAAAATTAGTCTAAATTTTCTAAACCATCAGAGCAGAAGAGAAAGTGTAATTTTCATCTAACTAAATCATTCAGAGATGACAGCATTTATCCAGGTTGTAGAAGACCTGTTTCACACCTATTTTCTGTATTCATCAGAAGACAGATCTATACCACAGTCCCTCACTTCACAGTTGAACAAGTTAATCAGTACACTGTAGGATATTCTGAGAAATGTTTCCCTCATACCCTGCTGTACCAGGGTAGATAATTGCATGTTATAAACTCATCATAACCAAGAAAAAAGAATAGAAGAACAAGGATGCCTGGTGGCAAGGGCTCCTGGGGCAGTGGGTGATGTGAAGTCAGTCGTCTTGAAGAAAAGGTTTGCACCTGAGCATCCTGACATAGTGGATTAATTTGCAAGCCTCAGAGCTGCCAGTCTAATGGAGGATATAGATCTAGCAGTGCCATGTTTTACTTTCATACCTGACATGACTTGACAGACTCCACCCGGATTCACAGGTAGTAGTTTGAGGAAAAGCAAAGCCACAGTTTTTATTTTATAGCTTGCTCTGTGAAAAAACAATCACCCTCTTCTATTGAAGCACTAACACTTCACATCCAGAAATCCTCATTCCCATTTCTAGCTCACAGCTGGTTTATTGGGCCTGCCTTGCATCTCTGGCATCCCGCTATTCTGGTACTTCTGCCCTGAGATTAGCACGATGAAAATTGGGCACACCTGCAGGGCATAATGCTTCAGTGTTTGTGCACAGAACTGCTGGTTGATCAGTAACACTGCTCTAAGAGGGATTATCAGAGAGTCATTTTAGTGCCTCCCAGTCTGTCTTCACTTTTTCCCTTTTTGTGCTCTATTCTCCTCATATCTGTCTGCAGCTTGCTTTTTTTTTCCTTATAGCCATCTGTTTACATACTCTTTACCATAACCAACTTCTGATTTGTGGGCTATTTAAACTCCCATGAATAAAAATTATTGCTGCTCGCCAGGCACCGTGACTGGGATCAAGCCTGACTCTCAGAGGTCCCAGATGTACTACCTCCTCTCTACACTCTCTTTTATTAACATAAGCTCTTTATTAATAGGGAACTTCTATGGGATTATCACACAATTATCATGTATAATGTTATCATGTACAATGTTGTTTTGTAGATCAACCTGCTTAGACAACACACAAATCACACTGCAACATGCTATGGCAACACCACCATGCAAAACAGAGGGGTTTTTGTTTCAATCATTGGGATAGTTTCCTTTGTGACTGTTTATTTACTTTCTAGTGTCCTTTACTGACTTTGTCCCATTGAATCCAAATTTCTTCCTGATTACAGTGGATTCAAAGCATATTACAGGAAGCCTTTACCTATAAGAAAGTAGTTAAAGAATTACAGTTTTGTTTTAACATGTGAGATATTCCCACAGCCTCACAAAACTTTGTTCTTTCACTGTTTATTTTTTTGGTTACTAGAAAGTATATATATACATTTATATATTTTAAATAGTGGAGGAAATCTCTTGAGCCTTATTATATGGAAGGCAGTTTCTGAGAACTGCTTCTCCTTCCCTAGAAACTAAAAAACAAAAACCATGATCTTTGCTGAAAGCTCTCATATTTTCCATTTCAACGCACACAGCTCCACTAACCAGGTCACAAAAAAGCCACGAACGCACGCACACACACAGCAGCGTCACCTGCACAATTCAACAGACAATGCAGACAAACTTGAGTATAATCCAAGATCTTTCTACCTCTTTTCATAACAGGTTAGTGCTCGCCCTCAGTGTTGGTGTACAGTTTTTATGGCATGGGAAAATAGGGATGTTTCTGCCCTACAAAAATAAATGCGTTGAATGCTTTAGTTTGCACTTTCACAATGTTTAAAAAAAGTCCAAAGAAACTGGATAAGTAAAAGGAATCCCACATATCAGGAAATCAGTGGATCTTTTGGCAGGTGGCAGGAGAATGCCCACAGCAAATTTACCAGCCTTCATTTTTACCTTTGCGGAATAGCTTCTGGAAATTTTATATTTAAAAAAATCAGTTCTTGTAGTCCATTATCAAAATGAAATCCCAATCAAACCCTTGCACACCATCAGCATGAAATCTTTGGTCCAGAAGAAACTGTGCTAGACATTAAGGAAGATAGCGAAATTACTATTGCTTATTTTGCCCTGTGCCAATTTAAAAAAAAAAAAAAAAAAAGGACAAACTCCTTTTCAGTTTAATAAAAAGGAGACAGCATTGATGTCTAATATATTCAAACGGTGTTAGACTCAGTATTTTGGGAGGTACCAGAAAAAGGAACACCACCAAGCAGGTCTGCACAGATTCTACAATTTAAAAAAAAAAAAAAAAAAAAAAAAAAAAAAAAGAAAATTATTTGTCTTATTAAAAGCATGAATTATCCTGCTTCCCACTGCAAAAAAAATGGCTCCCAAAGGTCCATTCCTCCATGTGAGACTACTGAGGTCAGTGGGAAAGGGACTAGGGAGAAGGGGTTGTAATGAAAGCACATTATAAAACTGATATTCCTAGGAAAATTCGCAAACTGTGATGAATACACTTTTAACTGTCAGGTTAAATAAGCAAAAAGGGAAAATAGGGTCAGTGAGGGGGAGGGGAGAGGATGTCCCATCAAGTTTACTAGTCTTCCGAGGCAACAAACTTACCACATTGCGTGTGAATTTCTCAAAAGATGTTCGACGATCCAGAGTGTTTTCCAACTTAAATTTAAAATAATAACATAGATAAAAAAAAAAAAAAGAAAACAAAAGAAAAAGGACGAGAAAAAGAATAGCAAGAAAGAATGGAGTAGAAAAGAAAGATTGATGAAACAATGGACTGCAAAACAAAGTTTGTATAAATCAGGAAGCAAACACAGGTATGAAGCTATGGGAATCTGCAACACAGGGGATGGGCAAAGCAGATATAGTGTTCAACAAAAATAATTTTTCATGGGGTTTGGACTGGTTTGATTTAAAGAAAATTGAAAATAAAAAGAAATAATGAAGTGCACATCTTGTGTTAATGAACTGACATTCACAAACTTAAGGACTTCACACGGACAGTTGTAGCTTTCTGGTATTTTCAACATCTCTCTCTATATTGGATCTTCAGAAATCAATGTTTGAACAAAGAACAAAATCACACAGTACTTTCATATAATTTTAGATTGGCATTATAAACAATAGAATGCTATGGTGTTAGTAACTACCTTGTTCAGGTAATGATCAGGACCCTGATTTTTCAAGGCAGAGGGCTCCCAGCTGATTCTAGCAGATTACAATTTAGAGCCCACTAATAAAAGTTTTTATCATTATAGAAATCTGCATTGCACAAGCTGCTCCACATATGCTGGGCTGTGTCTATTCAGAACTCATTCCATAATCTGGACTTTTCTAATCAAATATTACATACCAAGACATAAGCTTCTGTCTGCTGAAGTGTGACATGAGCAGTCTTTCAAGTCAGATTCCTATCCTACTCAAAACTATTCATGTAATAATAGGG